TCAATTTTAAGTGCTTTGAACAGTAGTTTTGCCTAAAAACAGTGTTTTGTTGTTGTTGTTGGTGGTGGTGGTGGTGCTGCTGCTTTATCAGTGAAAACCTTAATGATTTAGGGACTCTAGGAAAGATCTACTTCATAAAATATTTTTCTCCCTAGGCTAAATGACCTCTAAAAGTTCATAATGGAAAGCTTAACTCCTTTTGCTGAAGACTATACTTTTTGTTTTAAAAGTGTACAATAATCTCTTGCCAGTTGCCATGTTCTGATCTGCACATCAGCTCTTTGAAATACTGGCTATTTTTTGTATCCATTTTACAGATGTGGTCACATAGCTAATAAATGGCAATGCTGGATTTAATCCCAATGACATCTGGAAAAACAATATTTTGTTAATCACTATTCCTGTTCTTTCCTTGATTCCTTAGATACTACTCCCCTGAGTTTCCCTTCTATCTTCTCAAACATCATGGTTCCTTTTCCTATTCATTTCCTACATGTTGGTATTCTACAGGAGACACTTCTTAACATGTTCTCCGTGAAGAATTAAACCTGCCCTATGACTTCAGCAAGAATGTTCACGCTGTGGGCTACAAAATTGTATTTCTGAATCAGATCTTACTTTACAGCCTGCACACCTTGAATGCATAAGGAGCCTATCCCTCCTTGAATATCGTACTTATCCCTCTAGCTTCATTTTCTTGTCTTTTTTTTAGTGTGATTGGACACAATACTATTTATTCATTCATTCATTCATTCATTCATTCATTCATGTGCTGAGGATGGACCCCAGGGCCTCCCATGTGCTAGGCGAGTGCTCTACCATTGAGCCACAACCTCAGTACCCCCTCTACCTTCATTTTCTACCCCAGTGATTAGCATTATCTTCCATATGGTTGCCTGAGACAGAAAGATGGAAACTATTCTTCTCCCACTGCCATCTGTGCAATTTTTTTTTTAAAGAAACATATCGAAATACATCATAAGATGCTTACAACTCTTGCATAGCCTTCCACATGAAAATAAAGTTGCTTAGCATGGCACCTAAGACCCTTTGTGTCATGACTCTACCTGCCCTTTAAGTACCAATTGTTATCCCTTTTTTCTTCTCACAGTGAATTTGTTTCAAATCTTGACACCTTGTCTGAATTGTGCTAGAGGAATTAAAAATAGCCTTCTTGTACGGTATGTTATCAGGACAGAATGTTAACAGGGAAACAAAACTCCTCCCGAGGCCACTTAGTGATGGCTACCCTAATTTCCCAAAGTTACCTTTGGGAAAGGTAACTTTCCCAAAGTTACCTTTGGGAAAGGTAACTTTCCCAGTGGAGCTTGGTACTCTGAGATCTCTACTGCATTTCTTATGAAGATTCTGCCTTCTTTGCTAAATTTGAAGGTTTGTTGTTTTGTTTAAGGAAAATATATATTTTTTGGTAACTAGTTTGGGATCTGTTTTCATTAATCCTCCCAGTAGCTATTCAAATGACCCTTCTAAGCAGTTATCATTATGTCCCTTCTTTACTTATAGCTTATTAATTTTAAATAATGTGTGTGTGTGTGTGTGTAGTGTGTGTGTGTGTGTGTGTGTGTTGCATGGGATTGAACCCAGGGCCTTGTGCATGCTTGGCAAGCACTTTATTAACTGAACTATATCCCAGCCCCTTAAATAATTTTATTTATTAATTCTAACAGTTTATAAATTATGCTTAACATCTTAGGTATTTTTGTTACCTTGAAACAGTGTAAATGAATTTAATTTTTGCTGATTTTAGTTGCCTTCCTTATATTTGTTTTCAATGTTGAAAGGATTATTTCTCAAGGAAAAGATGCTTACAATTTTTGAGTAAGGTATTAGGTTGCCAAGCATCAGAAATACTGGCTCCTTTATGTAATCTTACCTGTAAATAAACATAGTTTTGCTTCGTTTAATTAAAGTTAACATAAAAGACCTTTTCAAAAGAAATTGGACAGGACTGGGGATGTACTCTGAGGTAGAGTACTTGCTTCACATGCATGAAGTCCTCAGTTCAATCCTCAGCACCACACACACACAAAAAAAAAAAAAAAAGAAAGAAAAGAAATTGGACATTTAGTTATTTTAAAAGTTATTGAGATGTTTTGTTCTGAAACCATGTACCTCTATACTACTATAGATTGAATCCTTCACACCTCAAAAGTGCCTTCTTTATGTGTACTATACTACTACTCTAAAGCAAAGTAATTTCTTACATTTCCAGGCAAGAGATAGTGTCATTGTGGAGGTACTGGGGATTGAGCCCTGATGACTTCATGAATGCTAAGCAAGCAATAAGCTAAAACTTAGCCTGCAATATATGTATATGTATACCTCCTCTCTCTCTCCTCTCTCTCTCTCTGCTATCTCCTCTCTCTCTTTTGTCTCCTCTGTCTCCTCTCTCATTGAGCCCAGAGGACTTCATGCATGCTAAGCAAGCACTAAGCTATAAGTTAGCCTGTAATATATGTATATGTATATCCTCTCTTCTCTCTCTCCTCTCTCTCTCTCCTCTTTCCTTTGTCTCTCCTCACTCTCTCCCCACTCTCTCTCCTATCTCTCTCCCCTCTCTCTCTCCTCTCTCCCCCCTCTCTCTCTACTCTCCTCTCTCATTGAGCCCAGAGGACTTCATGCATGCTAAGCAAGCACTAACCTACATATTAGCCTGCAATATATGTATATCTCCTCTCTCTCCTCTCTCCTCTCTCTCCTCTCTCATTGAGCCCAGAGGACTTCATGCATGCTAAGCAAGCAATAAGCTACAAGATAGCCTGCAATGTATGTGTATCTCTCCTCTCTCCTCTCTCCTCTCTCTCTCCTCTCTCTCCTCTCTCTCTCCCTCTCCTCTCTCCCCTCTCTCCCCTCTCTCTATCCTCTCTCTCCTCTCTCATTGAGCCCAGAGGACTTCATGCATACTAAGTAATCAATAAGCTACAAGATAGCCTGCAATGTATGTATATCTCCTCTCTCTCCTCCCTCTCCTCTCTCTCTGCTCTCTCTCTCTTCTCTCTCCTCTCTGTCTCCTCTTTCTTTCTTCTCTCTCTCTCCTCTCCCACCTCTCTCTCCTCTCTTATTGAGCCAAGAGGACTTCATGCATACTAAGCAAGCACAAAACTACAAGTTAGCCTGCAATATATGTATATGTATATCTCCTCTGTCTCTTCTCTCCTCTCTCTCTCCTCTCTCCTCTCTCTCCTGTCTCTCCTCTCTCTCCTGTCTCTCCTCTCTCTCCTGTCTCTCCTCTCTCTCTCCTCTCTCACACCTCTCTCTCCTCTCTCACACCTCTCTCTCCTCTCTCCTCTGTCTCCTCTCATTGAGCCCAGAGGATTTCATGCATGCTGAGCAAGCACTAAGCTACAAGTTAGCCTGCAATATATGTATATCTCCTCTCTATCCTCTCTCTCCTATCTCTCCTCTGCCTCTCCTCTCTCTCTCCTCTCTGTCTCTCCTCTCTCCCCTCCCTCTCTCTCTCTCTCTCTCTCTCTCTCTCTCTCTCTCTCCCTCCCTCTCTCTCCCTCCCCCCCTCCCTCCCTCTC